AAGTTAGAACACCAAACCTTGAATTAATCTTGTTCTCATGCATTTAAAGGGTACTTATGTTCGATACAAATACTTGCATTGCCAAACTATGAATTTAGACCGCATCGTGAAAGAATCAACATGATCAGTGTTTCAGATTCACAGTTTGACAACATAAGCACCGAAAGTATTGAAATTAACGATTGAGAAATTAGAAAAGAGGAAAAACAAGAGATTAGGTGTGTAGAGAAGAGAGGGAGGTTGAGAGAACGAAGAAGAAGAAGAATACCTTTTTGGCAAGAAATGTAGGGAGGTAAGAGAGAAAGTGGTGAAGCATATATATGACCCGAATTAATCTCTAGAAGTGGAGGGCCAGACAGACAGAGAGGATGACATGACTTATTTAGTAAAGAAAGATTGACACCAATAAAAGGGAGATTTTGTTTTCATTTTTTTCCCCATTGACATGGTCGTCTCTGTGCATTGCATTGCTTGACCAGTTTTTGCTGTTTTTGGTGGCCTGCGGCTGCGAAATGCAAGCCACTCCTTTCAATATCTTTTCCTTTTCCCGCACAAGTTAACTAACTTTTCCCAACGGTCATCCTTCTTTTTCCACGCAAAACCTACTACTATTTTTGTTTGAATATCAATATACCAACTTTTTTGGTTAATAATATATCTTATAAAAATAAAAATAAAAATTATAGAGTTGCGATTTTAGGATAATGACTTAATTTGATATGTTGATTTAATCGAACGAAAAATTGTAGATGTGGGCATAGCCACATTGGTGAAAGTGAATGTGATTTTATATCGTATTTTATACTGTTATATTTTTAATGTGAAATTTTTGTATAAGATGCATAATAACCACCAAGGGATGACCCAATGGTTGTCAACGAATTCCACGTTCGTATTCTACTAGGCACGTTTTGAGTTCGATTCTTGGTACTGGTAGATCACACGATGGTGTTCAAGAGAACACTAAAATACATGTGTGAGTCTTCCCTGTCTCTTAAAAAGTAGACTATCATGGCAAGTCACTAACATGTCCCCTTTTTAAGTAAAGAGTAGAAGGAGCATAACTCGTTGAAATTGCTAGAGTCAAAACTGACACCTTGAAATTATGAGGATCTTTGTGGAACCTTACGAAGAAACTAGCAACTGAAATATTGCATTTGTACTTTGGTATTATATAAAAGAAGGAAAACTCTGCGATATTCGTATTGAAGCTGTGTTAGCAATCCATTGACAATTAAGCAAAGGCGATGATGAAATATTTTCATTTCTTACTGGGGAGAAGAAATAATTCAAACTCGAGAGAATCATTGAAATGAAAATACCGATAAATTAAGACCTTATTAATTAATGAATTTTTTTTTTTGAACAAACCATAGTATTTATACTAAGGGGATGGGGGAGTGGGCTAAACCTTACAATAGGCTTGCCATAATAATGTGGTTCAACTTTGCATTTGGTGATAATCAAACTTAAAACCTCTTACTAACAAGTGAGGAGAAATACTACTAAACCGTAGTACTAAGTGGCAATTTCATTTAAATATAAACGGAAAAATATGTTACTTGGTGTTTTTGCTTATCGGTTGTATTTTTGCTATTGAAGGAAGCTCATCGGTTGTATTTTTGCTTATGCTCCTTGGTGTTTTATGCTTTTATTATACTAGTTACTTTGAGTTTACTTGCATCATAAGTAATATAAGTCATAAAATATTAGGTTGATCTCAAATCGTATTGAAATCCTACTTTTAAATTAGACAATCACATTTTTAAATAGTATTGACTACAACAATTATGAATATATAGATTAAAGAAACAAATCGTGGGAATATATATGAGTTACTTCCCTAGACTTGCATACACACTCATTGCTCAATCACCCCCTAAAATTGTTGTTAAACATGATTTTTTACTACTTTCCTCAATAATTATAAGGGAATTTCAATAGGAAGGGCTTCTTCAAACTTTTTATTAATAAAAAATTATTTAATCATTTTAATTAATGAAAAGGAGTTTAAAATTTAATGATAATGACTTAAACTTTAATGAAAATGACGTTTAATATATAAAACACAAAATAAAAAAAAAAAACTGGCACACAGGACCCCTAGCCCCATCACACACACACACACACTCTCTCTCTCTCCTCTCCCTCACTGCTTCTTAAAATGAACACTAACTATTTCTTAAACTGAATCTGGGTACTAAACTATTTCTTAAATTGACTATTTCTTAAATTGAATAATGGTACTATTTCTGAACTAAACACGGGTTGGCGTGCGTCTTGCATGCGCTTTTGGTTGAGTTTTTTTTTTCTTTTGTCTTTATCATTAAATAAAGTTATTATATGATTTTTGGTTAAAATTCAAAATTTTGAAGTCTTTTTTATTATTATTTTGTTATTATTATAAAGCATCTCTAACGACTAATCATATTAAATTGACCTACATGTTATACATGGAAACGAAAATGTTTGCTCTTTTGGACGTAGTTTAATTTGTGTCATTTGCTTCTAGGGTTTATTCTATTTGTAGTCATCAGTTGGTTGTTGAAGTTTAGAGGAGAAAGTCAACCACTTTTCTTCTTTCTTATAAGATTTTGGAAGTTGTAGCCCCAAAAAGAGTCACGTATATATCTCTAGTTGCCAAGTGTGGTTCTCCACTAAGTTTTCATTCATCGTGGTGGTTTGCAATTGTTTGCCCGCTGCTGAATTAATTAGGGTAGGAAATTAAAGCGTTAATGTGCCAATCATGGACTTAAGTCAAATATTTGAGCTATGTGATGTGATGCTATAAGATGCTTTCATGTTGACTTGTGGCAATTTTTGGTGACACTATTGTTACAAAAAATATAAGGTTATGAGTTAAGACTTGTTGGTTAGGATAGTGACTCACTTTCTTGCACTTGAGTTTTAATCCCTCTTTAGAGTTTTGTTCACCAAAAAAAATATTGACAACATAAATATTAGATATTGACCGCTATTGGAAAACTGATTACTTAAGTAATTGCGGATTGAAAATGATCTTTTTTTTGCCAATTTTTCAATATGGATGTACTTATGTACTCATAAGCATCAATGAAAGAAACTTAATAAATTTCTAATATGCAAATTATTTCACCTACATTATTAAAAAGTTTCTCTAGATATTGTTTCAGAACTAGAAAAAATTATATGAATTTTGGATACGAAGGGTTATATATCAAAAGATGGAAAGAAAAAAAACTGAGGAAGGTAAAAGAATTTTGTTGGAGAAAACCAGTGTCAAATAAGCAAAGGAAAGAGAAGCGACACGAGATCTGAAACTGTGAACTTGAGCTTAAGTACGTATTATTTTTCTTCATCTCAAAACTGGAATATTCATTATATGAAGCTATCATAATTGCAGAAGCATTACTTGCAATGCACGGAAAGACCGAACTAAACTAAACTAAAATCCAGTTCCGCAGCCGTAGATTCATCTTCTGTATTTCGCATGACTGAGCCAAATTCTGCAATTGTATTGCAGTCCTTCCAAATACCCCTGCAATGGTTTTCCGATAGCTGTTGCGCCCTACGAGGCTCTAATGGTTATTCCAATCCGTAGATGTGCATGTTTTTCCTTTCCTTAATAGCTGCATATATCTGCATACATTTGGTTTTATTTTCACATTATATTTGACTATTTGTCAAGATACCTTCATTTACTTTTTCGAATAATAACACCAATCTTTATTTCGACAACAAATACAGACATATATACGATAAATACAATTTTCGTTAATTTTGTTAAACAAATACAACATGTACATTCAATCTCAACATGTCCTCAAATTCTTGTGGGTTTCAGTTCTGATTTGGTATCGTCTGGGGCTAGAGGTACAATTTGTTACTTGGTGGAGCACTGTATGGTGGATGTCTTGGTCACGACTGCTAGTGAGTCGTGGTATAGAGGAAGATGTCGTAAAATGCCTCGCAGCCTCTGATGGTAATTCCAAACTATAGGATTGGTTCATACGTATATTTGACCACATGTTGAAGGAATGAAGTGAACAGGCATGGATCACGGAAAGTTTTTTGTTTTTGTTATTTTGGGTATTTGTGGTTGCAGGCTGTGTGAGTGATATATTGTTTCATGTTTCTGAAACATTATAAAGAACAACCCAGTTTACCATCCCCAGGCTTAGCAGGTGGCGTCGCATTGTTAAAGTTGCTGTACTGACACCTTCCTGCTGCCCAGCCACCTCTAACCATTGACATAGTGGAAGATATATATGTTAGAAGGTGAAACAAACGGGGCCTTAATTCCTTGCTAGCTTGTCATTGCAGCGGCTGATTATCATCTTCAGACGGGAATAATCATCCTCGGAACATCACATTTGCAACTCCAATTTATTTCGCACGAATTTGATGGCAGTGATTTTGGAGCTCAGCCCGACGAGGCTATATCGTATGGGAAAATAAAAGCTTCTGCTTTGAAATGGTCTCAACCATATACTTTCTTCGATCAGCATTGCCTTTTAGATGGTTTTTCTCTTCAATTAAATGTTGTTGAACGAGGCACTGCTACAATTGCTTTCCCGCTGCTACCTGCTGGTTGCTGAAACATTTGCCAAGAACTCGATCAGAACTTAATGCAGTATTAAATTTGGTCGCGAAGATTTTGACGAGGATGCAAGAGGCAGCAAGCAACCCTAGTTACTCAAGTATGTGTGTTTTGGGTTACTACTTGAGCTAATTGGATGCAAAATTCATCCGAAGAACATTTATAACCATTTTTCTCGAATTCACGTAGATTGCTCCAAAAGTTCACTATTCATGACTCAACTGGAGAAAGACTTGTGCAGAATCATTCACGGAAACAGCAAAGGATTAGCACCTGGTGCAGTGAGGCTCTGGACTTGACACCCAATTCCGGTTCACTTTCTTGGCAACCAAGGAAGAGAGAAGCGTTTAGGGAAGAGAGGAATCAAGAGGGTACGTACAGAGCGTGTCAAACCAAGCAAGCAAGAACAAAAACGTGAGCGTAGAGAAACTAAAAACCGCATCTAATCAAATATTTGGTACAAGTTTTTGCTTTTTTACAAGAGTTGAAACTGTGGACTAGACCCTAATTACTATTTTCTTTTATCTCAAAACTGAAATTCTGTTTATATGAAGACATTACAATTGCAGAAGAGTTACTTGCAATGTACGGAAAGATCCACAAAGGACCCTCCTCCATCCATATGTTCTCTCCATAATCACATACAAGTGCAAACCAAATTAAACTAAATCCCGTTCGCAGCCATAGATTCATCTTCTGTGTTTTGCACGACCAGGCCAAATCCTGCAATATCCTCTGCAAATCCTGCAATATCTTCTGTGTTTTTTTGTTTGCTGAAAATTACCCCTTTCATGGTTTTTCGTTAGCTGCCAATGTCGCGCCCCATGAATCTCTAATAGTTGTTCCAAACCCTAGGTGCATGTTTTCCCTTTCCTTGATAGCTGCATCCATATACATTTGATCTTATAAAACAACTCAGGAGGAGGCTCTTACTTTTTTGAATGAGTACTCTGCATATTCTGGAGGGTGGTTTTCCGTTGCTAATTTGGAGCACCTCAACTAATGACAATGCCTGCTGTTATAAAACCATTGGCAAGGTAGAATTCCAGTCATTCCAAATAGCGAAACACAGATAACAAATGCTATTTCATCTCTCCAGAGAACCACACAAGCCGGAGCCACTAAGTCCACCACACTAGATAAATGTTTTTACATTGATCATGTCACCAACAGAATAAGCCCTGCAATTACAGTCCAAAACACAAGAAGGTGAAAACATAAACTTGCAATAGATCTGATATACAAATAAACTTGAACTGGCTAAGCAATTATTACGTAATTAGTTACATACAGATTTCTTTTCCTTGTCAACGGAGGCTAAAAGCTCCTCTTGTTTATGGCGGGCTTCCTCAAGTGCCTGGAAAAATGAAACAAAAGAAAACGTGTAAGTTTTCTTTTCCTAGCTTCAATTTTAACTGCAATAATAGAATTGAAAAATATCAAGACATTACCTTCTTGGCTTCTGTCAGCTCTTGTTCCAAAGCATTGACGCGGTCAAGAGCAGCCTTTAGCTTTTCTTCTTTCTGCGTCTCAACCTTGAAAACCATTCGCACAAAAAGAAAATGTATATCGTTATGTTTATTATTGTCTTGATTTCGATCTTTCTTTTTCTGGTATAAACTTCAATAACAGAATTCAAAAATGTCAAGATGACTACTTGCTTGGTTGAAGATAGCTCTTGTTCCAAGGCACCGAGTCGATTCAGAGCAGCATTCAGCCTTTCTGCCTCTCGTTCAGTTCCCTTGCTAACCATTGGATCAACATCGTCATATCCCATTGGATACATTCTCGGAATTGAAAGCTGAACAAGATGAAGCAAATTAGTATATCAAACAATAAAGCCCAGCAAGTGCCAGGTCCAGAATTTTATATCTACGGAGGCAAAGTTGAACTATAATAAGACTAAAATGTTGAGAGAGAGAGAGAGAGAGAGAGAGAGAGAGAGAGAGAGTTTGTGTTAACTAACTGATAAGTATGCGAAAAAGATAAAAGGGCCATGCTTACTTCTTCAGGCACAGAAGAGAGATAGTCCCCATGCATTTCAGCCTCTAAAAACGTATCTGAGCAGAAAGAATCCATTCTCTTCATGTAGTAGCACGCCAAGAGAAAATAGAAACATAAGGAAAGTCAGGAAACTGAACATTTATGAAAACTGAGGCAAGACGGTTTGAAAAAAGGCCATAAACACACAAAAATGAAAAGGCAAACTTGAGCCAAGGTCTGAGTACGTTTGTGCAAGCCTTCTCATTTTCGGAGATTAACTTCTCCTCTTCAGAGACTTTCTTCTCCTCTGCAGAGATTTTCTTCTCCTCTTCAGAGATTTTCTTCTCCTCTTCAGAGATTTTCTTCTCCTCAGAGATTTTCTCTTCCTGTTTCTCCTGTTTCTCCTGATTCTCCTGTTTCTCCTCTTTCTTCTCCAGATCGCCTGAAGTGTTGCTCGTGCATTTGGCCTCACGAATACTCTGAACCATCTGCCTCAACAAAGCAACAGATTTAGAGATCTTTTGTTCACATTAGAATATGAATTAGGATAGATAAAAGGTATCACAACAAATAAATTTCAATTACTTGCTGATAACGTCAGGTAGTTTACCACTATCCCCAAAGGAAAAGCTGTTAAATTGTTGGCAAACATTTATTTAATATTCCACTACTCTCCCTCACGTATAGACTCTCTCCAGCACTAAAATAGAGAGGTAAATGCAGGTGTCCGACTAAGGCTGTTGGTTTACCATATTTCCAAAAGCTTAAGTTGTTACATTATGCGTCAAGAATTATTTCATATTCTAACTGTCAAAATCACCTTCATTATTTCTGGATCGTTCCACGGGCCCTTATCAGAGATCATGCAGCTACCCTTATCGGCACAAGTGCAACTACCACCCAAAAACTCTGGTAGCTCACTGCAGGTTTAATAGAAAAAAGAGTATTATAAGTTACAATAGGAAGTTTAATTAGCTTAGATTGAACTAGATATATACTAAAATGTTCCTAGAACAACACTTACGTAGCTTCAATTATTTCAAGCAACTTGCTCTGATATTGATTTCCCAGAACCTAATTCATAATCATCAGTCATCAACTCATTTAGCAACAGTACAAGATCAAATTTTAAACCAATTGACTAGTTTAGAGTGAACAAAGGACAAAAGCTTACATTGATTTTTGCAGTGGTCTTGGGATCAAGGAAAGATTTGACGGTGTTCCATAAGAGCCTAAATCCAGAACCAGCATTGATGATGAACATACGGTTCAGGGTCTATGTTAAACAAAAAGTTCAATCAGCGCCACAGAATACAAAAACTACCTTTCATGATAGGAAAGCAATCCAAGAAGCTTGATTCATGTAAACTTGAAATCATACAGCTTTTTACAGGATACCTCAGGATAATTGTCACCATCGACCTTCTGAAGGCGCTGAATGAGTTCCCTTGCAGATTTATTTAAACTTGTAAGCCCCTGTGGATCAAGTACACACATAAATACCACATGTCATGTTTGACACCACGCTAGTTAGATCTAACCAGAAGATCTCCACCAATTAATACATGAATTAAAGTATCAGTTTGTCTACAGAATAATTGGGTATCTCCAATTGTCCTGAATTAAGATAGTTTTCACGTACCACTCCTTGGACATCCAGAATAGTGGTACTCTGATCAATGTGCTTCTTTGCTGCAACGGAACAGGCGGGGAATTTACAGATAAAGGTCCTCTCAAACTCCCGTATGTGGTACTTTATATACCGTTCCATTGTTGTCACTTGCAGCAGCTTATTAGAATCAACTTGACCCAGTCTCTCAATGTAGACAGGCCGCCCATCCTTATCAACTCCATGATGCCCTTGTGGATAGTATTTTAAGACTTCATCGACTTCCTTAAATTCGAAGTCCTTAGCAAAAAAAACAAAAGGAGAAACTTCAGACAAACAATAGCTACTCCAACTAAACCATCTCCACTATATTCCAACTTCAACATAAGCATTAAAAACTACCTCCATAATAGTGTCAGCACCAAATTCCTGCCTCCACTGGAGCATGTCAGACCACATTTGCTTTGTTTTCTCAACATCAAATTTCCGGGCCCTTAAAAATCTGCACCATCATACAACAGTATAACAAACAACCTATTCATAACCGCATGTAGCAACTCAGGCATCAAAAACTGTTATTGCCAATCAAAACAGAGATTAAGTAACCTTAGCAACATATGAGAATCGTCATGTTTCGAGGGCAGTAGTTCTTCGGATACAAGTATTTGCCGGAATTCCTGAGCTGCCTTGAGCTCCTCGGCATCAATGCCATCGTCTATAGGGAAAGACATTACTTTACTGTTCCTTCGACCCTTACTGAAGGAGTTTGTAATCATGTTTGCTGCCTTCTTGAAAGACATAAGCTTTGTTTTCCTCTCATCCTCAGAGTTCTCATCTACACACGAGTAATAAAAAATAAAAAATAAAAAATTGACCCACAAACACAGATGTCTCTCTTGTTCTTTTCCATTTTCTCCTATACATTTATCTTCTCTGCATCGCTCCAATTTTATCGGATGTCCGAACAAAATGCAAAAACAATTCACATAGCAAACACAAAATTCATATGAATTGGGAGAAACCCAATCAATTATGTTGTATGACAAACCAAATCAATCAAAACTCAAACTATGAAATTATAAATGTAACCAAAACAATTTCAATTCGAAATTACTAACTATCAACTTGTAAAGTAATGGGTATATTCTTGAACATTTTTCTCTATAAATATATAAAGAAGAGAAAATAATGGCTTTCAAGTTTCAACTCACCCAGCTGTGTTAAGTTTTGATTAAGGAAATCAAATCTTGATATTCTTCTGTAAAAAATGTATGGGGCTGAAACCAAAATTCTGAATACATGACCGCCAAACATGGTGGTTCACGGATCCCAAAGGCAAAGGGCCCTGACTATTTGGTGGAGAAGAACATGCCTCCCCTCCTCAGCCACAAGAAGGAGACTAAGAGATGGAGGGAGGCACATTTTCCTGCACTAGAGGTGGTCTGGAGGCCACAAAGGTGGCGCGTGGATTTCACAGGCCGCTCCCGGCGCATGGAAACGATGTCACAGCGGCGGTAACGCAATCTCACACGCGCCAAATAGGAATCTTTTTGTGTTTCTTATTTTGGAAACCAGTGCAGCGGGCGGATATCTCTTTCAGGTCCCCCTTGTGGAAATGATATATCTATCTAGTTGCAAACGTTTGTTTGTTTGTTTTGTTTTTTTTTTTTTTTTTTTACTTTTTTTTTAATTTTATTTTTTTGAGTTCTTTTGTTTTTTGCTATGATCTAGTTGTAATGTTATATTCTTCAAATTATTGTATTTTTAATACACGTCATACATTGTTTGGATGTGATAATTTGAGACTGTTTTTAGAATGGAGTACGATTTTCTCTCCTTTTTTTTTTCTCTTCTTTTTTCTTCCTCTTATTTGAACAATCATTATTATGTCACGTTAACATTTTATATTAATTTTTTTATTGAGAGAGAGATAAAATGAAAAGTGTGGGAGGAGGGAAATAGGAGGGCATTGGAGGGGAATAAGATAAGAAAGAATCCTACTCCTTTTAGAATACCTATAACCGCTTTTAGGTAGCTAAATGTGTTAGTGGTTTTATTTGATAGTAAAACTTAACTATTTTTTGTCATATAAGCGTTTTCTGAACAAGCAAATGTTAAGTGATACTTGAAGTGCTTTTTCAAAAAGCACTATGATTTTTTTATATACAGACTCAACATCTTTCTAATATAAAACACTTCTAACAAAACTTTTTTTTTTATGTAAAGAAGTGTTTTCGATAAAAGCATTACCTAATGAGCCCTAATAAGATGGAAATTTTAAGTTCTAAGTGCTAAAATAGTGAGTACAAGACCTTCAATGAGGCAAATCCATAAGCATTTGCTTAACATGAAATGTTTTGTCTTAACATATACTTTAAGATGAGATCAGTGTTTGAAATATCCTAGATATGCTCGATATTTCCATAGAAATATTAAAAAAATCAGGGAACAATATGGAGGGAGTAAAGTGTACGTTTCACCGCATATCCCTGATACTTTCGGAAATCAGTCAATTTCCTCGATATTTTATGCATCCTTGCAGAAATTTCGTAAAGAAATTTATAGACTAGTGGTCAAGTTTTCTTCTTCGTTTCTTTTTTTATTATGTGAATTCAGTTTTCAATCTATCATATATTTGGAGAGTGCAATTGGAAAGTACTACGCAAGAAGGCCTAATCAAAATGAAAGATGAAGATTGATTATCATTTTAACTACATGAACTTATGCATTCTATATGGTATTAGTTTAATTCAATAAAACTTGTGTTGTTTTCATGATGAAAGTTTCAATTAAGTTATGTATAATTTATTTGTTCTAGTGAAATGTTTTATTTTAATACTTGTCATTAGAAGGAAGTTTTCCTTCTAACATATCACATACTTATTTTTTACATAGTATCTAATTATTAATTATTAATTCATACATGTGTTATGGCTTCATATGACATTCCCTAAACAATAATTTCATGTTTTCATGTTTTTTTTAAAATCAAATTTTCATCAATTCTATGGAAGGCAACCAATATCGATATTTGATATCGGATATATCTATCGATATTTCTGCAACATATCAATATTTCCATCGATACTGATATTTTGAACACTGGATGAGACTCGATAGAAAGCTAATCTTAGAGAATGTTGACAACTCTATGTCACCTCTATAATAGTCCTATGCAAGTTTTAGGCAAGCGTTAATGATTGAACAAGAATTCATATAGTTGTCTTCACATATCTAAGATGAGACTTGATAGAAAGCTAATCGTAGGGGCGTTTGTTACACCTCCTTAGGAGGGACTGGCTTGGACTAGCTTAAATAAGACTATAATCCTGCGTTTGGTAGGTTCTTGGACTAAAATAAATGGGACTTGCCCCGACTAAGAATCCTTCCACGCTTCGCTAACCCTCGCTATCTAATCCCAAGCTTTCCCATGGTGTTAAGGCAGACTAGAAAGGAAACGAGGCCAACATCCCCAATTCCCAACTTTCACTCTAATCCCTTCGTGCTCTGTTTATTCTTCTGCGGTGCCGTCACCATGGCCAAGTTGTGGGTTGCTGCACCACCCAAGTACCCAACCCAACCTTCAAAGAAACCCGTCAATAGCATTCAACCATCCAGAAGGCAAGCAAACAATTTCCATGGAATTTTATCGAATATTTGTGAAAGAAGAACAAAAATTGAGGAAAGAAAAAGGCGCAATACTCCGCCTTCTTCTTATGTGCAAATCACTATTGTCAGTAGACAATACGGCCAAAATCGGTGTGTCGATGGCGACCTATTGTCGTCGAACGGTACATCGAGAAGCGGATCAATAGAGGTTAGCGATGAAGGTTGGGGGTTTTTAGGGATCAAGAGGTTAGCGATGAAGGTTTGAGATGGGTTTTTGAAGTCTTAATTAATTTGAGAATCCGGGTTGTCTTGAATAATAGTGTGATCTGGGTTTGTGAAATAAGCATTGATTGTTAGCTTGGAATTTTACGAATTCAATTGGAGGTTTTCATAATTTTCTTTTATTTTTAATAGAAAATAAATTAAAATATAATAATAATAATAATTTATTGTTAGTCCAGTTTCTTAGTCCGACACTGCACCAAACGATTCACTAAGCTAGTCTAGCTTAGTCTAGTCTAAGCTAGTCCAGCTTAGTCCCTGAAGCTAATCCAGTCTGAGATAATCTGATGCAACAAACGCATCCTTAGAGAATATTAACAACTGTCACATTTATAATAGATGTGAATTTCAGGCAAGCGTTGATGATTGGACTAGGATTCGTATAGGGTATATGCCCTGTGAGGAATAGTTATATTCCCAACCCTAATAATTATGCTTTATTTAACCAAAAATATGTCATCAATATGATATCAGTCTCTACTTTAGCATGTTTACTGAGAACAATTTTATTTTGATACAATAATATATTTACATTACCAGGTAAGAGAATAATTAGTATCAAACTCGTCATCTATGAATATGTTAAATGCAAGACACTACAAGATCTTTTGGGACTCACAGCCAGTAACATTATTATCGACACAACCTATATAATTAAGCACATTTAAGTAAGCGAGGTATATTGGGTAAAGTTACTGAGAGGAAGCTCAGGAAGGTGATGTTAAAAATAAAATGGTAGAAATCAATGACATGCAAATTATCTCTTAATTTAACCATAAGAAAGAGACTAGGTAGGTGAAGGATGGGAAATTACAAATTACAGTTTCTTCTCTGCAATCTTCTTGCCATTCTAGTACTGTTTACTAGTTTTGCGTTTCTGCTCCGGGCAACTAAATCTTTGACCAGAACACCAAGATAAACCCTAAACCTAAATATGTAATGTGCATTTATTTATATTTAAATCTCTAATATATACAAGATGAAACCCTAATTCTAAGAACTCCAAAAGTATTGTGTGTAATTCAACATTCAGAAGATCACACACAGATATATATATAACCATCGATTTACGTAAGGTCTTGGAATTGGATATATCTATATCACAAGGTGCTCAAACTCAAACTAGAGACCGTCGGGGGATATACCTACCGATAACCTAATTGTACACCAAAACAAACACATAAATAAAAAAATACAAAAATCCAAACAATTTTGTTATTAGCATGCTTTCAAATCATTTAAAATGAAACTAACATGATCATGACGGAAAAAATGGGTAACCTAACCATGGAGGTTGAAGATTTTGGATTGATCGAATGCAGGAATTCAAGAATACAAGAGAATTAATACCTTTTGACAAGAATGTAGGGGTTAAGTGGGGCTAATAACTTCAGTGATTGAGCACTACACCCCCACATCCATGGACAGAGTTCGACTATCGCCCTCCTCCGCCCTTCTTCCGCCTTAGACCTTCTTCGTATCCAAAAAAAAAAAACAAGGATGTAGAGGGTAAGAGATAGAAGTGGTAGGCATACATATGACCCGTATTAATCTCTGAAATTGAATGGCTAGAGAGGAGCAATGAGGATTTTGTTTCATTTTCCATTGACATGGTCTCTTCTATGTTCCCACTTTTGGGTTTCTGTTGGCAAAGAAGGAGAGTATGTGAATAAATGCGATAATTACGGAGATGATTCTAAATAAATTATTTCTAATTTAACAAACTTTTCTACAAACGGCATCCCCCTATTTCCACGCTAAACTACCATGGAAATTTTGTTCCCAAAGTTCGGATGGGCCGTTAGATCAGATAATGAACATCTAACGGTCAGAAATAAAACACCGAAAGTGCAGCACTACGAACTAAACGCAGTCAGTAAAACCAGCTCTCTCGTAGCAGTCACTTCCTCTGTTCTTCTTCCCCTTCAGGTTTCAATGGCGGCTGCTGCACAGCTCCCTTTCCAGACCTCATCATCCCTCTCCCTTAAACCCCTGAAGAACCCTATAACCCGAAACCCATTTTCCCAAAACTCCATTCTGCCCCTCCGACTCTCCACCTCCCTAAAACCCCTTGTCCTCCGAGCCGCCGTCGTCTCCCAAAACCCCTCCAAATCCCTGTCCCAAACGACCCCGTTCGAGCATTGCTTCTCCAAATCCTCCGATGGGTTTCTCTACTGCGAGGGCCTCAAGGTCCAGGACGTCTTAGATTCGGTCGAGCGGCGCCCTTTCTACCTCTACAGCAAGCCACAGATCACCCGAAACGTCGAGGCCTACAAGGAGGCGTTGGAGGGGTTGAGCTCTGTCATCGGATACGCCATTAAAGCCAACAACAATCTCAAGATTTTGGAACATTTGAGGCAATTGGGTTGCGGTGCTGTTCTTGTCAGTGGGAATGAGCTCCGGTTGGCTCTTCAAGCTGGGTTCGACCCCACCAAGTAAAAATTCTGCATAACCCAGTTTATATGTATGTGTGTGTATATATATATATAATTGTTTGTGTGAGTATTTGAATTCATGGTTGTACAATTGTGTAAGTGCAGGTGCATTTTTAATGGGAATGGAAAATTGTTGGAGGACTTGGTTTTGGCTGCCCAAGAAGGTGTTTTTATCAATATTGATAGTGAATTCGACTTGGAAAACATTGTTGCCGCAGCGAGAATTGCTGGCAAGAAGGTCAATGTTCTACTTCGGATCAACCCGGATGTAGATCCTCAGGTATGGCATACATAAACTGCAATGTGATGATATTCATGAACCACATGAATCATGTCAGCGAGGATATTACTAGTTAGACATATGAGATGTTCGGTATGCTTTTTAGAAAAATTAGGAAGTAAATCTTTAACTGAAAGCCATTGTTTGATCATTGTGATACTTGAGTTAAACCTCTATGATTTGAAGGTTCTTGATGCATACCTCTAGCTCTAGAAACACAGTTGCCAGAATATTCAAGTTAAAGAATGTGCTTATGGTTCGTGGCAGAGGAATTTGATAAGAATAAGAATATACCAATGCATAATAGTTTTTCCATGTCAACATTATAGAGTAAGATTAATATCATCAGCATCTTAAGCTGTCAATTACCTAGCTATCCAGCAGTGTTTTTTTCCAACTACGCGGGCATCGCCTTTTCTGAAAACATTATCCATGCTATGTTAGCTTGGGCATGGGAAACTGTTTATGATGTTACACGGACAAATTGTTTAAATAACTAGGCCACGACCACCACATATATACTTCTACTTTCTTACTATACAGTGAAATATTACTTTCACCCAATGCTTTTGCTTCAGATAGTTTCTTTTGTGAACTTGATGCCCATTTTTATATTTTAGAAAAACATGTGGGCAGATGTTTGGCATGGAACACTACCATGATGCAGATATCCCTCCTCAAATCACCCCTAACACACCAGTTCCTCCATCTTTAATATCAAGTTTCTGCTATATTTGGATATTATTGTAAAGTTGTACTGTGCATTTGAACTTTCCATTGATTTTAAATCATTGATGTACTGTTTTAACATATGTGTTATTTTCATAGGTTCATGCTTATGTTGCCACTGGAAACAAGAATTCGAAATTTGGTATTAGAAATGAGAAGCTGCAATGGTTTTTGGATGCTGTGAAGGCGCATCCTGATGAGCTAAAACTTGTTGGAGCCCATTGTCATCTCGGATCAACCATTACCAAGGTATGCTGATTACTTGTTCATATCCTTTTATATTATCAATATAATTTTGCCAACTAGGATAAATTTATCAACCATGTTTGTTTGTGGTCATTCTGGAACACATTAAGAAAAACCATAATCAACTCGTTTATACTCTCTTTTTTTTTTTTTTTTTTCTTTCTGGTGATAACTGGTTTATACTTCATAATTATAGAGCTACAGCTTTAAAAAAAGAACATGTTTTTTAAAGCTGATCAGCTCATTTTCTTTCTTTTTTCTGTTGATTGACTTATGATTCTTTGTTTTTTTGTTTTCTGCTATGCTGTCTGTATGTGTTGATTGTTTGTCAATATTCTATGACAGGTGCACCCAATTCTCTTATTACAAAATCTAAGTCTCTCTCTCTCTCCCTTTCTTTTGCCAGGTGGATATATTTCGGGATGCTGCTGTTCTTATGGTTAAGTACATTGACGAAATCCGTTCTCAAGGTTTTCAAGTTGATTACTTGAACATTGGTGGTGGACTTGGGATAGATTACTATCATTCTGGTGCCGTACTTCCGAAACCCAGAGATCTCATCAACACTGTGAGTACGATATCTTTTGAATCTTGTTTTCGAACTTAAGTATGCAATTCATGTGTGCATGAGTAATGTGGATAACACCTTAATGTAGTATTACAAATAAGGAGTTATTAACACTGCAGTACGTACATGCATGTTAGGGTGCTCTTTGAAACCTCAACTGTAGACTACCGACTTTGTCCTATCCTTGGGACCTTACAGATGTTTTTATGATGGGTCTTTAGAATTTTGAGTCCATGTATGATAGTTGCATCCACAATTATTACAAGAATGTATAGCCTCTTAAGGAGTTGGCTCACGAAGATCATGTAAGTGCTACAAGGGATTAAGTAGCCCATATCGACCTGTTAGCTTTTTGTTCGCAAATGATCAATTGTCATACCAATATGCCAGGTCTCGTATTTACTATTTTTTTTTTTTTCAAAACGCTTAGACTTTCTTCAGGGTTTTTTTAGGGCTTGCTTCCTTATGGGTATTGTATCAAGAAAATTAACAGTTTTTTCTGTCTATTGATGTAATGTCACTAATATTTTCTCAACATTGATGCTGAGGGTGTAGGTTCGTGATGTGGTCCTATCACAAGGTTTGAATCTTATCATTGAACCTGGTAGATCACTTATTGCAAATTCTTGCTGCTTGGTCAACCGAGTAACAGGTGTCAAAACAAATGGCACCAAAAACTTTATTGTGATCGATGGAAGCATGGCTGAACTTATCCGTCCCAGTCTCTACGATGCTTACCAAGTAAGTTTTCAAGTGTAGTCGACTGCTAGTGTTTCTTTTGATGTCAATTCATTAATGTTAACTGGAGATGATGGACAATTTTGAAATCTATCCCATGTGTGAGAGAAAATTCAAAATAGTCTATGGCGTAGACTGTTGGATCTTTTGTGTGCACTGTATGCATGCGAGTGATTTCTAGTGGCTTGCTGTGTTCCCATGTCACTTTGTTATGGAAACTTCTATCAGCTCCTTTTCATTGAAAAATGACTGAAGTATCTTATCATGCTTCTGTTAGACCATTTACCTTTAATCAAATATCGTATATTTCAGTGGCCTTATCTGACATTTTTGTTGTTTCTGATTAGCTATAATGTTAGACTCGAAATATCATTGGCAGCCTCATAATAATTTATCATTGAATTCATAATGCCCTTTAAGACTTACCATTTTGTTTTTGGCTTAGATCTCAATTGACTTGTGGGAACTTTCTTGCAGCATATAGAACTAGTTGCTCCTACAGCACCTGATGCTGAGATTTCGACTTTTGATGTGGTGGGCCCTGTCTGCGAGTCTGCAGATTTCTTAGGGAAGGACAGAGAACTTCCGACTCCACCTAAGGTAATTGTAAACTGTTTATTGGAGGGTCAGAGCTATAATCATTTGTTGTCTTGTATAACTAGGAGATCAAACAACGATGTTCTTCTGAGTTATTCTGTTCTGGAGGTTTTGGTGCTTGATTGCTAACCAGAGTTGCCCATTTCAGGGAGCTGGTCTGGTGGTTCACGATGCAGGCGCTTATTGCATGAGCATGGCTTCAACTTACAATCTTAAAATGCGCCCTCCAGAGTATTGGGTATGTAATTGTTACTGCAAACAGCCTCTACACGTCCACACCACTATCTATGCTCTTTACCAGTAACTTATTTCTAAGAGATTTTACAATGCATTCAGGTCCAAGAAGATGGATCCGTAGCCAAGATCCGTCATGCAGAGACATTTGAAGACCACATGCGATTCTTTGAGGGTCTTTGATTGCAAGAGGTTGGTAGTCAGCGCTAGCTGAACAGGCCTGAATTTCCCCTTAATTCCTGGTTGTTTGTTGTAACACTGGAACTTATGTGTTCGGATACGAAGTTAGCTCCTTAACGTGATGTGTCGCACCTTATTTTGTTGTTTACGACTGTAGCTGTCTTGAGAGGAAACAGAATAAAAGATTGATAAGCAGCGAAGAATTTATGTAACCATTACCAACCTTTCTCAACTGCATAATCAAGTTTATGCCTCCATACTAATGTAGTTCCAGTTGCAGCGTGAGCTTGTGCACCATACTGTAGGACATTGTGTCTCCTTTGTGTCTCCTTTCTAAATTTGTGACACGTGTTCCTCCACTTAAAGAAGCTTCTATGTCAATTTTTGTGTCATAGTGGTGTGACGGCCTACCAAATTCATCGACTCTGATTCTGACATTTCTTATGAGATCTTAAATATTTTTGTGTTTATTAGGTTAAGCCTCACTTGATGTTATTAGTCTATGAATTATAATATAAGCCGACGATATATAATGATGTGTCACAATTAAATAAATGTGTTATAATTTAAATGTAATAAAACACCACATGACTGAGTTTTTATTACCCAAAAAAAAAATTAGAGTTCCATTTTGAACCTTTTTTGTCTCGTTATATATTATAATTGTCATTTGGAAAGTTTTCATTTCACAATATTACTATTATATTCATGTTTTATTTCTGGTATTTAGATCAAATAAAGAAAAATAAAAAATAAAGGAACAAAAATAAACATGGTATACCAGATGAGAAAAAGAGTATCATAAATCATTTCCCTTACAGAGTTAGTATAATAAGTCATGGGTGAAGAGAGGAGACAGAGACCGAGTGTACAAGCCCAAAAACCCCGACTACTCTGAGGAAGAAGTTCCCTCGCCATTTTCCAATGAACTGCTCGACGAGCTGACGAGTAGAGATACTCAAGAACTCAAAATGCAAAGTTACAAAGGGCTTACTGATCCGTATGACCACTTGGACGGGTTTAATTACGCTATCGAGGGCCGAGTAACTAACGGCGCCACAAGTGTAGGCTATTTCCAACCATCCTCAGAGAAGCGGCTTGGGATTGATTCAAGGAGATTGTGATGGGGTTCATCATGATGACCTCTTGGTCATCTCGGCGGAGATAGCCAACTGTCACTACTACGAAACCATTTATTAGTGTCGCTATGATAATCGACAAGAAATGTATATTACTGTCGGATATTAAGCAAAATCTAACAGAAAATGGATGCACTAGCCAAAATAATAAGCGACAGAATTGCCAGCGTCAGGAAATGAATTTTCTGACAGAAAATACTCTAAAACCGACAGAACTTGTGTCGGATATAACCGACAGAGAATATATTAAAAATGAATAAATAAGAGCATTCTCTGTCAGATAAAACCGACAGAACCGACAGAACTTGTGTCGGATATAACCGACAGAGAATTTATTAATAATGAATAAATAAGAGTATTCTCTGTTGGATAAAACCGACAGAAAATATATTAATAATAAAAAAAATATATAAACAACTTTCAAGAATAAAACTCGTTGGTTACGATCAAGAATAATAACCAATTCAATAAATCTATTCTACTCCAAAATTTATTTATTTTATTATTAATTTGAACCTGATTAACTACTAATAAAATTTATTTGAAATAAAACACAAAGGTGATGAGATTTGGGCATAGCCACACAATGAGCTAGTCATAATTAGTTTCCACAAAACTCGTCGGTTATGAACTTACTACTTACAAGATTCAAATCTAAGATATCCCACTTGCAAATGGAGAATCATACAATTAAACCATTGTAGTAAGTGACATTTGAAAAAAAAATAGAATAATTTAATGTCAAATGATAAAGTTACGAATTTGATATATGGATCATTTGAAATCCATATGTTTCTTCAATACATTTTTTTTTTCAAGCAAATACAAATTTTCTGGGTATTTATAACATTATATATAAGCAATTTAACTATAAAATCCCTAAATATCTTTCGAAAAAGGACTATAATGAACAAATAAATCCCTAAATGTCACTGCCCGTCTTGGGATAATTTTATCGATAGTGTGAAAGGACGATTTTACCCTTAAACGTGGGTAGTGGTGTGTGTACATGACTTAGTTTTAGGTCCAAGTTATTTTCCTAAGTATGTGGAATTAATTGGAAATTAAGTTGTTTTGGTTGGTGGGAGTGGACAACTTTGGACCACACAAAAACACATACACACACACCCGTGCCTTCTCTCTCTCCTCCCTCTTTCGATTTTTTGTAATGTCCGTACAAACCGTACGGACAACACCAAACCGAACCATTTAGTCACAGATCGAGGTTTTGGAAGCCATCATCATCATTCTTGTGAGTCCAGGAGTTGATCCATACTATTTTTAGAACTTGAAACCCTCGAAAACCGAGAACCCGAAATCCCAGTTTGAGGTACTATTCATGCACTAATTATTGCGGGGTTTTTAGAAGATTTTGAGCTTATATGGAGCTTTAGATCATTTCCACGAAGCTCGGAGAAGAAAAACGAGCTGAATTGGACGTCAGGAAGCTCAGGAACAATGAGTTGCAGAGGTGACCGGAATATCGCAATTTTTCCGGCAAGATTCTGTCATTTTTTGGGCTTTAAACAAGTAAGGGAATGTTCTACAAGTTAAGAGCTTCAATTTGGTACTGATTTCATGAAATTTGGATGAAAAACGACTAAGATATAAAGGTTTAAAGTTTTTCTAGTTTTCCGGCGACGGCGATGGTCCGGCGAACCAAGGAAGGAGACAACGGAATATTCCGTCAAGTTTGACAAAATATTCCAACGGCGACAAGTTAGTTTTAACGGTATATGCTACTTTTTAACGGAATATTCCCTAATGCCGTTAGGGTTACCGTCACTGTGCACAGCGTGGGGCATCGGAATTTTTAAAAAAAAATATGGGGGTGTTCGTGAGGTTGTGTAGATCACATTGGTATATTTAAACACCCCATTTGAGCAATGTATGAGAAGTTATTAGTTAGCATTGGTTATGGTCTTTAGATTAACGTTTTTATAGTTGTTTCGCATATAGGGGAGACTTATCCTGAGGACAAGCGCAGTCAAGGGCAACTCGGGGGCTACGACCCTTCGACATACCAGTGAGTGGGTTTTTGATTTTCAGTATATACTTATATACTTGATATTTTCCCAGAAAATGCGTTTAAATGAAAGTATGCTTTGAAATGCCATGCATATAAATTTATATTCAGTATATGAATTAGTATTTGATGCATAATATATAATTGTGGTGCTGTGGACGCTCAGGTAAGCCCATGTGAGTTTATGAATTGTGAATGTGAATAACGGTTGTGATTAATTGATAAACATAGAGCTCATAAACCTGCACCCCGGGTGATTGTGATTTAGCCAGAGATATGGTACATGCTTGTTTATAATGTCACCTCCCGCACTCTATGCTCACATTGGATCCAATTTAGGTGCACAGTCTTATCGTACAGACCATTATAGGTGGTTCTGACTCATAGGTGACTAGCGATTTATCACATAGCTATCATGAGTGCGTAGCATTGAGCATAACTATATTACACCCAGTCTTGTCGTATAGACCTTTTCAGTAGTTCCGACTTGTGTGCAGTGTAGTGCCATATAGGTCATTTGTAGTGACTCCGGCTAGACTGACTAATGAGCTATGAATTCAGCTGTATAGACTTTTGCAAGGGTTCCGGCTAATGTGTTATTTTCAATGAATTTATTTTCACCTGAGTTACTTATCCTATTTATATCTTGGCATGTCATACTTATGATTATGAATATGTATAGCATGATTTGAATCGATATATATAGATATATGTATATGTTTATATTCTATTTATGGGAAAAAGTATACATGTTTTACGGCAAGGGGTTAGAGCATTTGAAAGTTAAATCTGTTCTCAAAACCTTTGTTTTTGCCCACTCATGTTTTCTATTTTGCATCCCTCCAGGGTTTAGGTAGACTTGCTGTTGGTGGTATTTGAGGATTCGACAGTTTTGACAAAATATAATATTCGTATGACCTCTTCTGGTACTGTATAACTAGTACTTGTTATACTGGACTGCACCTAAACTTTCTATGCTTTGATTATGAGTATTTACACTTGTATCTCATTCTTAATACTTTCTTCTTATAAGTGCACATTAGTAAGTAGCTTTTGGTTTTTATTTATTCGTATATTTCTTATCCTTATCGCTTCTGCATTGTGCACATGGCTACGTCACCCTTACGTGACGGCCAGCACGCCTTGATTTTTGGTCGGCGTGTGTCAGTTTGGTATCAGAGCCTAGGTTTAGCAGTCTTGTATATCTTGTGAATGATTTAATCATTGTGATGTCTTATGTCAGAACTATGTCGCCTCGTAGAGAGCCACGTCACTTAGCTGAGCCTAGTTTCCCTGATATTGCTCAATTAGGGGAAGCTATAGCTAATGCCATCCAATCTTTGCTCAGTCCTCCTCGAATGACACATCTTGAGGCCGTGTATAAGCTTAAGCTGAATCATTTCATAGGAAATGAAGGACATGAGGGAGCAGAGAAGTGGCTTAATCATGTTGAGAAGACTTTCCTTGTGATGCAGAGTCAGGGGAATCTTCCTCCTGATAGGTGGGTCAAGACGACTACCTGGTTTTTGGGTTCGGAGCCTGCATCCTGGTGGAGAGATGAGTCGTATCAGATGCCACTAGAGGTTGTAGCCGATTGGGAAGTGTTTAACAGTTGTTTTGGAAAAGTTTTATTCCCACTGAGTACATTGATCGTAAGAAACAAGAGTTTACGCATCTAAAACAAGGAAAGATGTCAACGAATGAGTATTACAGGAGGTTCACTGATTTGTCTCGATATGATCCGGAGGTTGCTGCTAATCTGGTCGAGATGCTCCGTCGTTTCAGGTTTGGTACTAAGAAGAAATGGTGTTCTATAGTGACATCGACTCCCTGTGCCACTTACCAGGAGTTTTATGAGGTTTTATTGCGGATTGAGGACTTAGAGAACATGCCCAGTGAAAGTGAAGATGAAGAAGAAAAGAACGGGAACCAGAGGCAAGATGATAAATGTAAATGTCAATCATCTCAGGGATCTCGTAAGACCCAGAGTTTTAAGAGAAGTGGTGTTAGCTCCAACTCTTCTAGTGGAGGTTTGAGCTCTAATGTGTAGAAGAGAGGTGGTAGATTTGCTAGAGGCCCAAGATTTCAGAGGCAGATGGACTTTGGTGGTTCAGGTGCTCCTTTATGCCGCAGGTGTAATAATAAGCATTTTGGAGAGTGTATGAGAGGCAGCAGTACATGCTATACTTGTGAACAGATGGGGTATAGGGCTACAC